ACATTGTACAGACATTATATATTGAATAATACAAATACAAATATTAATACAATTTCACCATGCACAGGATGTCAAAGGTCCATCTACTTAACAAATGCATCATGCACCATTACAAATATCTCGAACCAAATTTACCTTGCTTGCAAAAAATTACCATCATCAACATAAATATTATTATTGTAACGGCTATGCCACACATTGTGCAGTGTCATATGAAAGATTATTCCTATTCATATTTCTATATCTATATTTATTAACCTACTCATTTAATGTAAATATTTATTTAGAATTAGTAATTAGTTAATAAGCATATTATTGGAGAGTAGGGTAGCACATTATTTGTACTGCCTCAAGAGGTATAAATACACTTGGCTTTAGACCAAGTTAATGAGACTTATTAATAAATCAATTGTTAATATTCTTAATAACAACCTTGATAACAACAACATAATAATAACTCTTAATAAATATATTAATATAACCTTACATAAAATAGTCTTTGACTGTAAGTAACTAATAAACCCAGTGGAGTCGTTAGAGATGCCAATCGTGAACTGCGACGAACAATTGACAATTTGACAATACGAATGGTAAAAAACTATGCAAAGGAATATTATGGGCAAATAAATTTATAGTTGATGTTGACAAGAGGATTTATTCTATAAACCGTTTACTCGAAAATAAAATTCCAGGCATACCTCCAAGTCTAACACAACACGAGCACATGCTTCTGACATTCATTTCTCCTAATGGACAAATGTTATTGGTATAATTTTTTTTCTTGGAAATTTCAGTCATATAATTTTTCTCGGAGATCTGAGGTTACAGCGTCTAATGAAAGGAAGCAACTACGCAGACAAAGATAATTGCACGCTTGGAGTATAAATTGCTTTACAGCTGCTGCTATTCGAATTATCACGAAAAAATAAATCATAAAAGCACTGTTATATATATAATCCCTAATTCCTCATCAAGAGTAATTTAAGTATAGTTTAAATAGAAAATCATACTTGCAATTTTAAGTATCTTCCTAAAATGGTCAAGATATATACTTAAATTGTATTTTAGCAGCATAAGGATTTTTTTTCATTTGCATAGGCTTACAAAGAAAGGAAAGGCATTTTTTCTAATCTGAGTGTTTGTGTTGCTTTCTTATAATAAGGAAGGAAAATTCGAATAAGTTATTCTATTACTTTACTACTATTTTATTTCTTAACGGAAAGTATCAATTTCAACAATTAAATCCTGTTTAAATGTCATGCTAAGATTTGATGAAACATAAAATGAAGCACTTCTTTCAAAATAAATTATTTTGGAAATTTTAATAATATATAAACAAATCGAAGTTCATACTGGTAAGAAAATTAAGTAGTAAAACAGAAATAGACATCATTTGATTAGTATTTTTAATTCCTAATTATTAAAAAGAATTTTTTTTCATTTTTTTTTGTAAAAATAGTTGAAACAAAAGTTAAAGACATTAATACTATTAATAAATATATTAATAAACGATGTATATTTGAATTATAATATATTTTAATTTACTTTAATACCTTTTATATAAATAACTAATGGGTGGCAAAGGTTTGTGCGATAAAACTTTTTACAAAAAATCATTTATGTGATCCACACATCGATTTTAGTTTGATACTACAAAAGATAAAACTGATGCAAGGACTGGAACAATCACTTCTATTTGTGATAGAAGATACACAATGTTAATGTATAAAATTATAATGATAATTTATTGTTATTTCTAATATATTATTGTCATTTACATCCTCTTTTCCTCAAATATTTAGCAAACATGAAAACCAATCTTTGACGTTTAGGCAACGATGTTGGCAAAGATGAATTTGTAAATATTGATGATCCATAAATGAAGAACCTGAAGATTTGCTCCCTATGGAGTTCAACAGTTATGAAACAAAAACAAAATAAAAAATGTAAATTATATTAATGTTTGTTAATGTTTAATAATAATAAAATTAATAAGTTCTTTATTTTATTCATAACAAACACTGTATCCGCAAAATATCAAAGGTCTCGAGAATCATACGTGGCAACATAAAAAAAAGGAAGAGTTGGATCCATGGTTGACAATAGACTGGGTCTACTGAGGCCAATTGTCAATTTCCATTAATAAAATACTAAATATGGTTACAAATGGATCATTGGACTGGCTGGTATCATGGCTAGATCCACAGGATCTATTGCATAACGGTATCGTTGACGAAGCTTAGTTAAAATATTACCATAAAAGATATATAAGACCTTATTACGAAGCAGTGATGTATACATGAGATATGTTGGATCAATATTATGTGGAATTGACGATTGAAGAAAAATTTCATAACCGATTACATTGAACACAGACACTAATGTTAAAGAAGAGTCTAGAGTTTTTGTAATCCTTTACAATCTTTTCAATTGGAAGGTAAATATAGCGACTTTGAAAATAAAATACGGAAAATGAATAGTCCAGAAGAAATTAATGGATATGAGAACGGAATGATTAAATCAATTTCTTTGAATATTTTTGACTCAAATGGAACTTATCTGGAAATTACCTGAATACGTGAAACGTTCCTCTAACATTAACGAACGTTCATATTTGCATCAAGTCATCAAATCCATCATCGATTTGTTGTTGAGGGAATTAATATCGAGTTTGATGGTATTTTTTATTTTATTTTGTTCGTAAATTTTCTATTAATTCATTAAATCATGTAAGGATCGTCTAAAACACAAATGAGAATTCTTTTTTCGCGAAATAAGCAATGGGTTGTATTTACTTGACCTGCAACATTATTGGGAAGATGGATTATGACTTGATGTTTATTTTTGATCTATCACTGCTGAACAAGTTTTAACTAATATTTAGAACAATATCATGATGAACCAGACAAGCCTGTTGCCGATGAAGCATTTGAATAGTCATTTAATAAAACAAACCATGATGATTGGAAAATTAGAATGTATCAAGAAATTTTGGGTATGAAATAAATTTTGAAAGAGCTTATGATGAATTATATATTTTCATAGTGTTAATACAGTAATTGAACTTTCAATAAATTTATAAATAAATATTTTATTTTTTCTCTTAATGATACAAATTCGATATAAATTTAAATTTAATAAATAATAAATATCTAAGATAATATGAATATTGTTGTAATTATTAATTAATTTGTTTATTTATTACATGATTATTATTATTTTGTTCTACCAAATATGAAGAAAAAAATTTATTTCCATTTTTTTTTGTCTATAATTTATATAATTTTTTTGTTTAAACAAGCTTCTTTGCTTCAAAGAAATTCTTCAAATGTGTCATTTGCCATAAACATGCCATTCCAAGAATAATTAATTGGATCATTGTCCAATATAATACACGTGAATTTGTAAGTTCAGATTGATCTCTAAATTCTGCTTCACGCTCCTAAAAATATATTTATACATTTATTATTAAGGTCAAATGATAAATGCATTTTTTTTTAAAAAAATAATACTTACACGTTGATAACTTTGTTCTCTTCTAATATCTGCAACACGATTATTTAAATCATGGACTCTTTGTGCAAGATCTATATAATAATAATCATAACGATATTCAAATTATTACAAGGCACATATTTAATTTGCTACAAATAATTATATTTATTTACCACTAAAATGTTCTTGATCACTTTCATCGCTAATTGAGTCACCAAATACCATATCTAAATGTAATTTCTTTTAAAAAAGAAAAATCAAAAAAAATAAGTTTTTCACACTTTTTTCTCCTCTTCCAACTAAATAAAAATTTGTAAGGAAATTCTAACAAACCGTTTGTAAAGAAGAGAACCAATTACTTGAATTGGTTTGTAAACATATGGCATGATCACCTGATTCTGCTGTGGTAAAGGTGAATCGGCCTCTATTTGCACCTCTTTGATTTACAATACGATGATTATGAGGTAATTCCTGAATTTTGTTAAAAAATTTTATTAATTATCACATCCTTTCAATAAACAAGAATAGATAAATACTTAAATATAAATATTCATATTATATATAAATACCTCTACAATTATTTGAATTCCAAGCTGTGTATTTTCAATATATTGTTGCTGTGCATCAGACCATTCTTCTGCCTTATAAGTGCCTTTTAACAAAATTAAAAGGAAAATTATATATATATATATATATATATAAAAATGACAACAAAAAAAATCATTATCTCATCTGTCCAAAATAAATTAAACAAACCTACAACAAGTGTGTCTTTTGGTAATTCTTCATTAAAACATTTCGGATCATTTCCTTCAAGATAGAAATATAAAGCTGAGCTTGATCTTATAAGTGAAAAGGTTAGGATAAAAAATACAATGATTAAAGAAGTAGAAGCTCTGTTGTTGTTTTTCCACATTATATATTTATTTACTTTTGGAAGCTAAAAGTTTTTTGTAGTTGCAAAGATGTTTCACAAAAATTTCGGTTTTTTTAAAGTAACCTACTTGGTATTATTTATCATGGTTGAAAATTCATTTGGTGTTTGGTTAAATTGTATAATTTTATTTTTTTTTACAAGAAAATACATCCATCATTTTGATCTTTTTCTTTCCTTTTTTTTTACATGAAAATACATTCATTGTTTTATAAGAAAGAACATTCATCTGCAATTGTTTATTTTTATAGCTTTTATCCAACGGATATTGAATTGACTTTAACAGTTAATAGAAACATGGATATTGCTTTTTAACAATGATTTTGTTAAACATTTTGTTGAGTAAATGAATGAATGCCATTGATTTAATTGACAAAAATAGAGAAATGGAAAAAAATATTGAAATAAAAAAAACTCATATTGTGCTTATTATTTTCTTTGAAATGAATGATTAGTTTATTTAAAAAACACCAGATTGTTTTTGTTGATATTGAATGTTTAATTAGCCAATAAATGTAAAAATTAAAATATAAATGAAACTTTAAAAAAAATTTTAATAAAATCAGATTCTTTTTCTAATAATTTTAAAAAACTTAAATTCCCATTGCTTAAAAGTTTTCTCAAAAGTGCCAAAGTTAACTGGTCCTTGTCTATTCATAATTGTGATAAAAATTTTAACAATTTTAGATGTTATCTGATAGAGTTATAGAAAAAGCAGCTATTAAAGGAAATCTTCAAAGATATCCTTATTTACAACAAGGTCAACAAGTTTGTTTTCTCCATTACATGGCTATTGTTGAAAATCCTTCATTTATAAAAGAAAGAAAAGAAGAAATTATTCAATATATTGCGAGCATGCAATCTGAGTTTCCTAATTAATAGGTTATTTATAGCTCAACACACAGCCTACTTGCTGACTTATGGTCAAGTTTCCTTTAACTATATATATATATATATATATGACACACAGCCTACTTGCTGACTTATGGTCAAGTTTCCTTTAACTATATATATATGACACACAGCCTACTTGCTGACATACAGTCAAGTTTCCTTTAATTATATATATATATGACACACAGCCTACTCGCTGACTTACAGTCAAAGATTAATAATAAAATAACTTTTATCTTCCTGGATAAAAGGGCCCCTAGGTTATATGTAAATGATTATATCTCAAAGGCGTCCCCTTGAGATGTATCTGAATAATTAAAAGGGTTCCCAACTAATAATTAAAGGTTGGCCAGACCATTAACCATTAGAAGGGCTGGGGGTCAACCACACTGGGTTTATTAGTTACTTACAGTCAAAGACTATTTTATGTAAGGTTATATTAATATATTTATTAAGAGTTATTATTATGTTGTTGTTATCAAGGTTGTTATTAAGAATATTAACAATTGATTTATTAATAAGTCTCATTAACTTGGTCTAAAGCCAAGTGTATTTATACCTCTTGAGGCAGTACAAATAATGTGCTACCCTACTCTCCAATAATATGCTTATTAACTAATTACTAATTCTAAATAAATATTTACATTAAATGAGTAGGTTAATAAATATAGATATAGAAATATGAATAGGAATAATCTTTCATATGACACTGCACAATGTGTGGCATAGCCGTTACAATAATAATATTTATGTTGATGATGGTAATTTTTTGCAAGCAAGGTAAATTTGGTTCGAGATATTTGTAATGGTGCATGATGCATTTGTTAAGTAGATGGACCTTTGACATCCTGTGCATGGTGAAATTGTATTAATATTTGTATTTGTATTATTCAATATATAATGTCTGTACAATGTAGATGATATATGCTTGGCTATTATGAGATCAGAGTTTATTATGGATGCTATTATAGGTTTGTGTCTCATGTCAGTTGGGGGTGTGTATAAGGAAGGGAAAATGAATGGATTGGTGTGAGGTAAATTTGATATATTGTTTAAAAAATTTGTTTGTGGTTGACATAATTGAGATTTAAGTATATTGTACCATTTAGGAGGCCTACGAAATTTACTAAGAGGTAGTCTATGAAATAACATGTTTATTGGGAGAAAGGTTGAACAATCACATGAAAGTAATTGTTCTAAGAAAAATATTGAGTGTTTTTTGAGTAATGGTATTATCTTGAAATATTGATTTTGTATAATGTTTATTAATGGGATATTGCCACCTTTGATGTTAAAAGAGAAGATGAAAGAAGATGAAGGTTGGCATGATATATGAGTAGAATCATTAATTTGACACAGGCAGCTGTAATATTTTTGTTGTTTAATTTTGTAAGAAGTGCTTGTGTCACCAATAATGGGCAGAAAGGGATCCATAATGTAGATTGAAGTTGTTTAGTTGCATATATGTTATTTTACCTATGAGTGATGGATCATTAATACAAACAATGAAATCATTGGTTGACATTGTAGTTGCCAATAGTCAAACAGATTGTAAAATTGTGGATGATAAATAGCAGAGTTTGGAAATGCTTGAGATAGACCTAGTTTGTTTTTAAATAGTCTTGTGATAGGAGAAAGTAGTTGTTCACATTCTTTTTTAGAGAAGAAAGTGGTTTGATATCTGTATTCTAGTTTAGGTGCAAGGACATGATTTATTATATATTTGATTTGTTCTCCTATTAATTTTTGGGGTAAAGTAATGATTTGAAGGTGTTGATTGCATTTTTGAAAGAGGAAATATGGTGTTTTTGTGAGCCAGAAGTATTGAACCATACTCCCAGAATTCTAACTGGAGTATTTGTGGGAGTGGAATGAATTGATATGTTATTGAATGTTGCATTTGTTTCATTGTCATTTCCTGATGAATTAATGACCATCAATGTTGATTTGTCAGGATTTACTTTAATGGCATTTAATTGGTAGAAAGAAGAAGCAATTGATAGAATTTTGTACATTTTTTCTTTTGATGATGCAATCCATGTAGTATCATCCATGTATGCAACATTTGTAATTGTGACAGATTCAGCGTTGGTGGTGTATGAACTAACTGTTAAATTAGATGGTAAAGTAGTATTGATGGTGTATCCTAATTCTGATTTGGATTGAATATGACATAGTAAAGGATCATAATATATGCACCACATTAATGGAGAGAAAACTTCACCTTGATCAACTCCATTACTCAATTGATAAGGGTCAGTTAGCCCATAGTCTGTGATGACTTGATTTGTTCTATCTTGAAATGCAGTGAGAAATATTTTCCTTAATTTTTGAGGGAAGTGGAGATGTGCCATGGCTTTATCTAACATACTTCTATTGATTAGGTCAAAAGCTTTACTCATATCTTGTGAGAGAATCCAGCATTCTTTTTTAGATTCCCATGCATTCTCAGAAATTGCATTAATAATGTGGATTGGTTCTTGACATGATTTTCCTGGTAAGCCAGCAAAATTATTTTCTTTTAGGATGGGATGGTTGATGATAGTCTATTTGTGATGATTTTATAGAAGCATTTACAAGTGCATTCTAATAATGTAATAGGATGAGTGTGTGTGAGTTGATTGTGCCATTCTTTGGGATTTGGTATGGGATAAACATTGGCATGTTTCCAAGCTGATGGAATATCAGATGTGGATATGCATCTGTTGAATAGTGAAAGCAAAATTTCTATGGTATCTGGATTCAGATGTTTTAGCATTTCATTTGAGATTGATGATTGTCCAGCACCTTTTTTTAAAAGGAGATCTGATATGTTATTTAATAATTCAGTTTTTGTAATAGGTGATAGTATGGAATCAACCATTCAGGTTTGATGTAGTTTAGGGGTTGATAGACATGAGCCCATTCATTCCATAAGTTATCAGGAGGTGGATTATTTGCTGTGCTAGAAATATTTGAGAAGTGAATTCTTGTATGAGATTTCACAGTGTCTGGATCTGAGGATATATGTTGAGATTCATCAGGTGGAGTAATCAAGATTTTGTTAAGGTCAATATGTCTGTAAGGTTTTTCAAGAATTGATGAGAGCATACTTGAGAGATTGTCTTTCATGTTATTACAACATTTTTTGATATTTTCAGTGATTTGTTTGTTGAAGTCCTGTTCTTTTATGAGACAGATTTGTCGAAGTGAATGTTCAAAAGTTTTAATCAAATTTATAATATTTTCAAGAACTTCTATGTTGAAAAGTATAAAACTAGGGAATGTGTAGTTATGTAAGGAAGCAATGGTTTTAATTGAGCAAAATGTTGTATGCCATTTTATTGGCAATGGAGTAGATTGTTTAAATGAATGTAATGAAGAAAGGAGATGTGTGATTTTACAATGTTGTTTGAATAATGAGGTGTTGACTAATGGTCGGTGAGGAGTAGCATGTGGTGAAACTTTTTTTGTAGGGAGGGTTTCATTTGCTGCAGATATAATGATTTTGGAGAATTCTTGCCAAATTGAAATTATGTTGCTCAAAGATTTGGGCTGTTGAATCAGAAATTTTAATTTTAATCATTGTTTGCAAACTTTGCCCATTGTTCAAAAGTAGTTGCTGAATAGTTAAATATTTATCATGAACATGTATTGGTTTTTATGGAATGTGTTGTTGGTTGTGAAGTTAAGTTAGATATCTCAAATGAACATATAATTAATTTATGATCAGCATTGTAAAATGGAATAATATCAATTGTTTTGAATGAGATTGGTGTAAGTGATAATGATGGTGATATCCAAATTTGATCAATTCTTGATGATTGAATACCATTGGACCATGTATGTTGTGGATTGTCAGAAAAGAGTGATGCAATATCTAAGAAATTTTTTGACATAAGGTGATATGTTACTTTGTATTTTATTGGACATGATCTTGATGATGTAATTGTAGGGTGAACATTCACAGGATCTGAGTTGAAATCACCCATTATAATTAAAGAGAAATTATTTTGCAGGCTTTGATTGATGAATGAGATTAGTTGATTATGAATTGGAGTTAGTATGTTGGGATCTGAGGTTGCTGGTGAATATACTTGGATAATTCGAAGCTTGATTTGATTGGGGAAAAGTAAATCTGCAGCTATGCATCTTTCTTTTGATGATGTGATTTTTTGGACATGTTTTGTTAGGAAAGGTGAAAGTATTAAGCCAACACCTGCACTGTTGGGATGATCAGGATCACAGTCCCACCATCCATGATAACCTTTGGGAAATGGGTAGCAATATTTTGCTGATTTAGGAGGCAATCTAGTCTCTGATATACCTAAAACATCTATTAAGTAGTGACTAATTAATGAGTTAATGGCACCTCTAGGTGTTAAATTTATTAAAGGCTTTATAAATGGAAATGTAATTGATGAAGATATCATGAAATCACAAATAAGTGCTGCACAAACTGAACATGAGAGGATTGGTGTTCTCTTCTCTGAATATTTGAATGATATCACAACTCCTCATGGAATCAGAGTAATAAAGACACACAAGAAACTATGTAGGATTTAGTTAATCATTTATTAGACACATTTAATGTTGAAGATAATAAAGCACTTGAATGCAATTTATGAAAAATAACAAAACCTTGTGCATTGAATCCTATTAGAGTGCAACGACTTTTTGATTGCTATACAAATGGTCATGAAAGAATGAATTCTATTTGTAGACAAGAGGTCTTTGGAACTGAGAAAATCAAAAAGAAGGGAAGAAGAGCACTTAACATTACTAAAACAACAATGAAGAACATAAATGAAAATAAAAAAGCTGAAAAGAAAACACCTACTCAATTTTTAGATAATTCTTTACAAATCCAACCAGTTCAAATTATTAGATCATTTTCTGAATCAAGTTATCTACAAACACAAACCCAACCTCATCTACATGAACCAGTAGAAAATGTTATAAAAAAAAGATCAAGATGTGTAACTACATTAAAAGCTAAAAATACATTACTTCCATTGATTCAATTAATCCAACAAGGAGAAGAAATTTCAGAAGAAAAAATTTAACTATGTTACCTACTTTAAACATGAAAGCAGATTCAAGTAATATGTGGGATGCTGATAGAGTCAAGAATTATTTATCATGAAATCGCCCTAATAAAAAGTAATGAAATATGTTTTTCTTTAAACAAATTTTAAAGATTGTGTATGTATATTTTTTGAAAATTCTGTTAGGTCATTTTTATGGTACGAATGAAGTCTAAAGAACAAGGTTCACTTTAGTTTATTGACTATTGTAATCAGCATACAGCTGTCTTATTGAAAAGAATCAACGTTTTTTGTGTAAATTTTCATGTGTATTTTGACCCATTATTGCGAACTTAAAAAAAGGCTTCATTGTAAACTAAAGGTGCCAAAATACTTCCTGAAACCTCAAGAATTTCTTTTGTATGTATTATTTTTTAATTAATTAAGAAGTTTATGTGTTATAAGTGTTAAAAGAAACTTCTGGTGTTCAAGCAAGTGTTACACGCACTAATAAAAAAAGAGAAAAGATTTGCACACTGCTGTTTTTTTTCAAAATAAATAATACTCAGACACTGGAAGCTTACCTAAGGGCACTGACATATAATAGCTAATATTTTAGGGGGTGGGGGTATCAGAAAATCTTAAGTCACACATAATCTCATAAATAATGTGATCAGTGAAAGGTCTGCATTTTTATAATTTTGAATGCAAGTGTTTTAATTTGGGAATGATCTACGTGCAAGCCAATTGTCATTTACACAAAATTTTTGTGCTACAGGATGATATGGCTGTTAATATTTATTTATACAGTGCAGGACACCTAATCCCGCAACTTACTGCGCCACGACGACGAATTTTGGGAAAAAATTTCCAATCAAAAATGCAATAAAAATTGTTTTGTCATGTGATATTTCCTAGTCATTCCATAAATAGTAAAATCGGCAATAAGAATAAACATTGGGTTACCTAATATGGATGTGATCATCAACTAAAAATTCAAAAACTTTTATTTTGTTTCAATTTGTTCATTTTTATATATATATAAATCGCGTGTAACGCGACAGTTTTGGGCTTAACATAGTAAACTTGTGCAACTTTGAGGCTTGATCTCTCCATGGTAATGTGACATATCAACAAAATGAAATCGTAGCTTTGTGGAGAAAGGTCTTAGCTTCAAAATCATGTTTTGTTTATGTGAGTTACATTTCCATTTCTGGTATACTAAAGAATATACAAGACCAATAAAAAGTTGTGGGACTAGGTGTCCTGCACTATACGACATTAAAAGGTTTAAAAAAATATCCAGTATACCGAATATATATAAAAATCCGCTAAATCCGTTAAATCAAGATAAAATAACTATAAAAAAATTCTGTTCTGAAATTTTATCCATTAAACCCCTAAATCCGCTAAATCGAAATCCGCTAAATCGAATTTCACTGTGTAATTCGTGGTCCACCAATCAATGATAGAAACACTAATAAAAACCAGGCGATCGACATATATAAATTTAAGAAAATGTATTGAGTGACAAAAGTTGCATACAGTCGTACCTCCATATAAGAACATCATCGGTAAAGCCAAAATGTGTTCTTATACAGAGGGAACCTCTGTTAAAGAACAATATTATAATGTTGTTACATGCTGTTACTATAGAGAGGTTTATCAAATGATGAAAATAATAAAATAATATTAAAATAGTGTAATGCTTTATTAAATTATACCAATAATAATAATATTATTATTATTATCAATAATATTATCAACATTATTGTCAATATTATTATCAATGTTATTATTTTTAATAATATAATCATCAATTTTTTAGATTTATCAATTAACCTCTCATAACAAGGAAGATATTTTCTAAATGTTTCCAACTTCTTTATATTATAATTGATTATTTCATCTTGTTGTTCTTCAAATCTAATTACTTTCTTTAAAGATTCATAAGCTTCTTTAATTGTAACCATTGGTGGTGGTGGTTCTTCATTGTCTATTGTAAACCGTGGACCAACCAATTGACCGTTAATATTGACCAATTAGAACGAACTTACTACGGAAGTCATGTGATG